CGCGGCCTTGGGGCCTCCCCCCCCCCCTGCCGGTCCCCGAAGCGGCGGCTGATGACGGACACCGTAAAGCAGGAAAAAGTCGCCGCAGAGGACTTTTCGCGGCCAGAGCATGGACCCGAACCTTGTCTCAGTACTGTCCCGCTCGCCTCAGTTCAGGATCTGAGTCCTGGGTCCGAGGTCCGTGTCTCCCTGGACCACGTCATCGATGACGCGCTGGTGGTGTCTTTCCGGCTGGGGGAGAAGGTGTTCTCCGGGGTCCTGATGGACGTTTCCAAAAGGTAACAACAACAATAAACGTTATTTGTAGAGCACCTTTCTGAAACGGGGTCGCAGCTTCACAGTACGAACAGTGAGGACGTGTCCAACAGCAACAACGTAGGACAAACTACACACACGGCTTAAAGGAAAATAAACTTTAAAAGCAGGTTTTGATTGATTGATTGATTGTATTATAAATACGTGACTAGATAGCAGCTCAGATTTTACCCACTAGATACTACAGCAGCAGTGGATGATTATTATGGCTTTTCACTTAGGGTCAGTTTGAAACCAGTACTCAAAGTACTCTAATCCTTTAATGCCGTGACAGTAGTACTACCACAGTGTAGAAATAGTCTACAACAAGGTAAAGTGCTGCTTAATTTTACTTAAGTACTAAAGTATCAGCATCAAAATATACTTATTCTATGGACCCTTAATGTATCCGAAATAAAGTTTTGATTGATTGATACTTGAAGTAGCCAAAGTACCAGTAGTGGATCTGTAGAACAACCCGAGTCACTTTAATGTGTCTGATACTAGTGTATTATGATGACCGGTGCGTTATTGTGTTCACCTGAAATCTACTTCTAGTCAGTGCAGCCTCTCTACGTAATAACCAAACACGGTTACACGTCGTAGCAGAGTTCTTCCGATGTACAGCCTATATATCGTGTTATATGTCTGACTTGTTTTTAATAGTTTCCAGCTCATAATGTTACTTTGAGCAACTATAGTGTTACGTTAAATTCATGCTAACCAGCTAGCGACATTGAGACAGCAAAACAGTGCACGTTTATAAGTTTTATTGATTTAAGAATAGTCTATTTCAGAATTGTTTAATTTCAGAATACTCTGATTTACCTAATCCACTGTGGCATAATGATGGACAAACCAAGGCTTTCTGAAGCACTCTCAGTATTAAGTAATTGTGTTAAATGGTTCAGTTTCGAAGCATGACAGTAAAAATGGCGCCATCTGCTGACCGATCCATGCTGCTGCATTTATAAGGGTAGAATAAATCGGAGACAGTATAGAAACACTCATAATATAAGCGATCTTAATGCTTTTATTATTGGCATTTTGTTCAATAAAGCTAGTTTTATGAAAATGGATCACTTTTAAACATATCCTACAACTCTGCTTTTAAATACTGAGAAGTACACGCAGTATTCAAAACACAAACGCTGATAAAAATGCAACCTAACAAGGCCTGGTTTTGGGTGGTCACGTGATTTTTCTCATGGTGAAGTGGGGCACTGAAATATCATGCCGTGATACTTCTGCTTTGAAAAGTCGATACAGTGTCGAGGTATCACTGGCGTGTTATGTCACTATTTAACACGTCTGAACTGTTACTGGTTTTACCCTCTGTACAGCACTGTGTAAGTTCTGTGTTAGAAGGGTGTTCTACAAATAAACTTGATTTAATATTTTAGAATGATCAGCAGAAGCTGTGACAAGAATGTTTGTTTTTCTTCTGTCAAACACGTCTACAGTCATTCACTAAATGGTTTCTCACTGAAGCCCAGTACAAAAATATTAAAAGCAAAACTACACTACAGTCTGAACATGTGACTTTTCCCAGTGATCATCATTAATAACCAGGGGTGGAAGTAGTACTCGGATTGTTTACTTAAGTGAAAATAGCAATACTACAGTTTAAAAATACTCAGTTACAAGTAAAAAAAAAAAAAAAAAAAAAACTGCATTCAAAATATTACTTGCGTACAAACTTATTAACATCAAATATATTCAAAGTACCAACAGTAAAAGTACTCATTATGCAAATTGGCACAGTATACACTGTTTTACATCATGTAATTCGATTGCGACTGATGTATTATTGTGTATGTCACATTTAATGTTGCAGATGGTGAAGGTGTAGCTAATGCTAACTACCTAGTATGCTAGAATTCAAGTTACTGCTGGGTAGCTTGTGAATTTTACATCAAGGATCAATAAATCTTATGATTGTAGACCATTTTGTTTTATTAACCTAATTCTGAAAAGAAACTAAATTCAGTGAAGTCGGAAGTATGAATCAGTGGAAAATGAAAATACTCAAGTACGGACACCTCAAAATCGTACTTAAGTATATGTAATTAATTACTTTCCATCTCTGTTAATTCACTTTAAAGCATCCAGAGAGTCCTCACTAATCCATTAAGGGATTCATCTGTGGTGTGTTTGTCTAGAATTTAGATGCACTTTTTCATTTAACAACAGAGCAGAGAAAGGAAAAACCTAATATCATCCTGATTACCAGTTTCCTCCCAGCGCTGGGACCAGTTTAATGCCCAGTCCAGACCACCTCTACCCCATCAGACACAAAAAGACAGTATACAGCAGAGTCTTGTCCCGGGTCAGGTACCTGTGGATACCCAAAGAGTGACTTGCAAAAATGGTAATGGGTAAAAACAAACAAAAAAAAAAAACTATATATAAAATTCCCCACTCGCCCCCCACTTTGGGGCGGTCTTGTATTCCTTCCTTCAATCCTTCAAGCTCGGGTCTCTCTCTCCACACACACACACACACACACACACACATTTTATATTGACTTACATTAATTTCCTGAAGTGTTCCCCTAACCTTAAACCACCTAACCGAATCCAGCATAATTTTATCAAGTACATTTTGTGTGGAGGCCTATGGCACAACCTTTGACCCCTCACCTCACGTCCAGTTAGTAGGACATCACGCAGACCTTAACATAGCCTTGGCATCAGTGGATCAAACTGGACAGCCTATAAGCAAAAATAGCTAGTGGTGATTACAGAGTTGTGGACAGCCAGAAGCTAGGCATTTCACTATGGGAACAGCTGCAGTAGTCCAGGTGCTGCGTCAGTCCACAGATACCTTTTCAAGAACACAACTCTCAAGCACTAAAGTAAGTGACTGTAGCCTCAGGTCTCTTTTAATAATGGGTCAGGTTTTGGGTCTTATGTTTACAGTCAGGTCAACAATAATATTTACATATGTTTATCTCAAACTGTTGATGCACATGCTCTTATTGTGACATTTTGAAGTGTCACTTGCAGGCATCCTGTGTCAAAATGAAAACTCACTGTGCAGTTCCTTATTTAAAAGGTTTCCTTTAATATTCAGCAGCTGCCATACCACAGTTTATTTATCTGGTGTGTAATGTTTATAATGTCAAAATGAATTTAGACTGACGTGCACATCCGTTGTGGAGTCATGTGGGCGTGAACGAGGCGCTATGACTAAAAATGTCTCTGCACACTTGCCCCATTGGCGAAATTATATCTTAAAGTTTCAGATGAGTGAGATAAATTTGACCTCTAGTCGTTAAGTAAATGAGGGGACGTTTACGATGTTACTGTGTAAATGTTTTGCTGTTAAAAAACAAAACAAAAAAGGACATCATAGAAGAAACAGTCAGTTCTTCTGTCGGGTAACGTCTCAGCGTCTACAGAGCGTTGTCTCCAACTAGTAAAACGCTACATAATCAAATAAAAGACTAAATAAATCAATATAAAAAAAACATGTTTTAAACCAGACTACAGCTAATCAGGAGAGAGGATTTAATGCCCGACACATTAGAGATGTCCTGACTGAGCGGTTTAATATTGAATTATCTGCTGATGTCAGGTCTATTTTATGATTAGTGACAAATGCTGATCAAATCTGTATCAATACGTTTAAAAATCACTTGTTAATACTAAATCTGACACCTGAAGTCTTGATGATCAGTGAAGGTGACTGCTCAGATGGAGCAACTGATCTGACCTGACTGACTAATAAACCTGATCAGTGCATGGCTTATTTAAGACAACATCTCATTCTGTTTGGGAAACACTGACAGAAGGTGTTTGGCAGAGTACAGACACAAACAGACACTGAGTTAAGGTTAACTAGTCGACGCCTCGGTCCAGTTTTAGTCTGATCCCAGATTGGCCTGTGTGTTTGAGTCTAAGGTTCTCATCCTGTGTGTGTTTCCAGGTTTGGACCGTACGGTATTCCCATCACGGTGTTTCCCAGACGAGATGATCGGACCCGACCTCAGGTGTCTCTGCAGTCACAGCCGGTTAGCAGTGACGATTCATCCAGTAAACAGGAAGAGGTCAACCCCACTCCTCTTTCTCATCCCTGGACCTCCAAACCACCACCGCTGTTTCAGGAGGGGGCACCATACCCCCCTCCTTTGTTCATCAGGGACACCTACAACCAGGCCTTACCTCAGCCGCCACCACGCAAGATCAAACGGCCAAAAAGGCGCTATCGCTGTGAGGAGCCAACCTCCATCATGAACGCCATCAAGCTCCGGCCCCGCCAGGTGCTCTGTGACAAGTGTAAAGGTGTAGTGGTGTCAGGAGGGCACAGGGAGGCACGGCGGGGCCCAGTGGATCTGAGGGGCGAGGAGGCAACTCGGCGGCGGAGACCGGCTGAGGGACCAATCTCTTCTGAGGTCAAACGATTGAGGAGCGACGACAAGGGTGGAAGAACTGCTGCCGATAGACGGCCATCATCAGCGATACGTGTATCATCATCTTCATCATCTTCCTCCCGGCGTGTCCTGAGGGGCGTGGCTTCATCTTCATCCTCATCCTCATCCAGCCGCATGCATCTGAAGCTGAACTCTAAGAAGGTTCTGGCTCAAAGCTCTGCCAGCGATCGCTCCAAAGCACGGCAGGTTCTCAAAAAGCTGGCAAGGACCTCGCAGCCGCCGCCACACTCTCGCCCCAAAGACCAGAACCAGGGTCAGACCCAAAACCAGGACCACACCAAGGCTGTGACCCGAGCTGCTGCCTTGCAGAACCACAACCAGAAGGTCCACTTCACCCGCCGCCTGCAGCACCTGAGTGGCGCTGGTATCAGCCCGATCTCACCCACACCGCTGCCGCCCAGAATGCGCCTCAAACCCCAAAGGTATCGTACTGATGATAGTCAGACGCCCTGCTCCTCCTCCTCCCCACCCAAACCAAGCACTCGCTCATCACCTCCCAAACCATGTCAAAGCCCTGCCCCTACACTGGATCTCACCCTGCCCTCTCCCTCAGGCGTAGCTCTTCCCCCAACGTCCCCTTCCTCGTCTTCAGTTGGTTTTGCCATGGAAATGGAGTTTGCCCACCCCTCTGAGGAGGGGGGGGCGGAGCAGGGAGGGGGAGGAGGCATGGAGCAAGTAGTGCAACATCCTCCTCCCTCCTCCTCCTCCTCCTCCTCCTCAGAGTGCAGCTCCACAGAGACTTTTGAACTCCCCCTTCCTGGGGACCCGCCCTCCTCCTCTTTTGCTGCTTCTCCTCCCACCTCCTCCTCCTCCTTAGAACCTTGTTGCCCCCTCTCCTCCTCCCCAACTACCACCCTCAGAGCTGACAGTGAGGAGATGCAGGCCGGTGGCGAGGAGGATGGAGGTGAACTGAAGAGGCGTCATAAGTCTTCCATGTCGTCCTCCTCCTCCTCTTCATCGTCGTCCTCCGTCTTCTCCAAGTCGGTGTCCAAGTGTTCGCTCCCCGACGGTCGGACCGTGTGCGTTGGCGACATTGTCTGGGCCAAGATCTATGGCTTCCCCTGGTGGCCGGCACGTGTGCTTGGCATCACGGTGTCTCGGCGTGGCGACACAGGGCTGGCGGTACGGCAGGAGGCGCGAGTCTCCTGGTTCGGCTCTCCGACCACCTCCTTTCTGCCACTTACCCAACTGTCGCCCTTTCTGGAAACCTTCCAGTCTCGCTTCGACAGGAAGAGGAAGGGGCCGTATCGCCGTGCCATCGCCGAGGCTGCTAGTGCTGCCAAACAACTGACACCGGAAGTCCGGGCGTTGCTTACACAATTTGAGACATAGCATTTCCTACTGCTAACACATCCTCACCCCTCCACCACTGCCCCACCCCTCCACACAGACTCTCTGGGATGTAGAGGCGCTTGTCTCCCCGACCCCTGCCCCAGACTGATAGCCGCCTGTCTCTCAGAGACTGATGCAGGCATACGGACGATGTTTGTTTCCTTTTCTCTTCTTCCTGGTTGACAGGAGGAGGCGGAGCTTCTGGGTTACCTACCAGTGTTCAGGAGAGCAGGGGTGGGACTTAAGTGTTCTTCCCCTCTCCTCAGAGTGTCAGGTGTCCGTCAGCGGCAGCGTTTCCACTCGCCGTCACGCCATCTTTGGTTTGTCAGAGGGGAGTCTTAGAAACTGGAAAAAATAAGTTCAGCTGAATGATTGGCTGACAGACCAAGCTACATCATGATTATGTCGCTCATTTGCATCAATAATCATAAATCAACAAACAATCAGTCATGTAAAAACAAAACACTAATTAAGATCCAAATGCTGGTAGTGCTAACAGTTGTACTGGATACACACAGTTGATTGATCAAAATGTCAGACACTTGTTTTTCTCATTTCTGATTCAGAGATTGTTCTCATAAAAATTATAATGCTACGATGTGAAAACCTCAACTGGTTCGGTCTGACATTTTTGTCATTCTGGTGGCGGGATGTAAAACGCTGACATGCCGACGTGTCACTTCCTGTTTGGGTTTCTCGAGTTCTGCTGAGGAGATTCAGACTGAAAACTTTTATTTTCTTTTTGAAGAAGCTTTGTCTCTGTTCTTTAAAAGTCCCAACAGACAAAAAGATAAAACTGTGAAACTGTTGTTCAAACTGAGGCTGGAGGTCCCAGGTGAGGTCTAGAGGTGAGTTAGATTGGTAGGACTGTTTTTTGTTTTGTCAGGTGATCTGGCCCTTTAAACTGTTTGATAGAAATATATTAGGCATACAACAGCTGTGATAACACCTCTTCTCTGAGGTCCCAGTTTCCTCATTTTCATTGTTTAGAAATAATTCTGCTGCTGTCTCACTGTTATTTTTAGACTTAATTTGAAACTCTGATGTTTTATGGGGACGTTGTTGCTGACGTCTCACTCGTTCTGTGTTTGAGACCCGAACCTCAGTTTGCCAACAGACAGACGGACAGGTAGGCCGCACTGACTAGACAGGACAGCTGCTCTGCTCTCTCTGATGATGAAGGTGGATTTTCCCTCTCTGCTGTTTGTAGTTTCAACTGTCACTCTTTTTACCGTCTGTTTGCAGATCAGAGATTCTGAACTAAAAGCTGTTTGGAAAAAATAACGGAAACTCGGGCAAAAAAAAAAAAAAACGAAAGGAGAATCCGCCTGAGAGTTGACATGTGTACATGTTTTTTTTTTCTGATGTTTTAAATCTATTAATAAACTGTCAAAACTTCTCTTTGAATCATCGTCATCATTTGAACGTTTCTTTTTGGTGGTTTCACTGTAGGAATCACACCAGTGCCTCGCTCAGCGGCACGCTGGTAGCAGGCCTCATGCTCAGATTTTCTCACCTGCAAACAGATGTTTGGTAAACGCGTCTCCAGAGCTGTTTTACCGAAAATATCAGCAACAACAAAATAAAATGGCATGTTTCCGAGTTATTAACTTAAGACCTGTTTAGAACTCTACTAAGTTTTTTTTTAATGATTTTTGACTCAAATCATATTCAATACAACAGAAACTAATAAACAGAAAAGGCTTGTTGGGTTTCATGTGACCTGTTGCTGATTTTAAGTAAAAACACCTCTGACAACCAGAGTGGGAAAATACCAGCAGGTACTGACTAATTCTTTATATATATAGAAAATTATGAACAGGTATTAGTTGATACTGTTTATTAGGTGTGTTGACATGCTGACAGTTTCACTGTTTTTGTTGATGTGCTCATGTGAAATCTAGAAATAATTTAATAATTGGGAACAGTGACAAAGGCCATGTGACAGAAATGAGTTTTACAGTAAAAAGAGAAGATTTATGTTTTCATGCCAAGGTGAACACATGTAAGATACAAAGGGCTATGTAGAGCACATTTCATGCAAAGACAGTTCAGAGTGATTAATATTAATATAAAAAACTATCCAAAAAAAAGCTTAAATTCAAATACATTTTAAAGGAAATTAAATGTTAAAAACGGACAAAGATTGGGCAGAGGAGGCTGAAGATTTCAGGGCCGTGTTACAGAAACCTGCTGTCTTTAGTCTTAATACTGGAAGAGCACAACAAATAACAGCATTATAGAAACAAGTCCTAATTAGCTTTTAGAGTCCTAGCCAATCTCAGATTAAGAACCCGTAAACACCCAAACAACTTTACCTAGCAAATGATGCTGTTTTTCTGATATCTTGCCAACCTATTTTGCAACCAATTAGATATACTCATTGAAGGGGCGAAAAAAAAAAAAAAAACTTCAAGACCGATTAATTTTAGCAAAGCTAACACTAGCTACTAAGGAGCCTTTTGTCATCAAACTGCTACACGTCATCAGGGTCTGCCATAGGCCTCTCACTGAACAAGTTCCACTCGTGTACAAGCAGTAATACAGCAGCTACAGGCTATGGATTACACACATTATCACTGTGTGGTGGAGTGACAGTTAGGACCGCTGCTCAATGTCATCCTAAAGTTAGGAGAGTCTGCAGAAGATTTCGTCTTAAGATGTGAACTGTTTATCAGGTCGGTGGTGCACCGAGCCACACTCATCACGGGTTCAGTGTTTGTTTCCACTGCAGTGTACCCGCTTTCGAGGTGCATTCTGGGAGCTAAACTTCAGACATTAGAGCAGTCACTGGTGATTGGTTAAATGTTGGCGTCCTCACACCTCAAGCGTTAGCATTACAAGCACTGTGTGTAAACACACAATTGACTGCATGTGAGGGGGGAGCAGTCCCTCCCTCCTCTAAACAGAGACCGACAGAGAAAATACAGTGGAAAAACAAAGCAGGACGGTTTGGCGTCAACCCTGGAGGCTACGCTCGGTAATGGTTAAGGGAAGTACAGGGTGTACCACTCACTAGATTCCCAGAGTGAAAATGCAGCACAGGCTAAGTTTATATGTTAGTGCCTAAGTTGTTTTATTTATTTATAAGTTCAACATGAAAACATGAATGTCCTCATTTCAGTATCAGCTGCGTGTATGAACAGCTGAAGCAACTGATCAATTAAACCAAGTGACAGAAAATGATTAGCCAACTGTTCTGATCATAATATCAATAATCTGTATTTCATTCAAATGTTCATTTGTTCCAGTGTCACTTTTCTGAGAATCAGCTGATAGGGATGTAATGATACCAAACACTCACGGTACCATATTGCCATGGTAAAAAGTCCAGGATACAATATTTATCATGATATTGGAAAAAAAAAACAGGTGAAACTCTGCCCCTACTAAATTATCAAACTCTGGGTTGTTTTTTTTTTAAATAATGTATACAAGAGATAATGCAGCAGTCAGTTTGGTGGCCATGCTGACCAGTGGTCAGGTTCTCAGTAATGAACCTGTTGAAGTGGGTATACCCACGACCACCGGGGGCAATAGTGAGCAACCTGCTGCTTGGCACACACAAGCGACAGCCTCCTGGGCTGAGAAAAAAAGCCAATGCCGAAGTGCCACAATCTGCAGTTCCTCAAACGGCCACTAGAGGCTCCAAAAGGGAGTCAGTCCCCGTAGACTCCCGTGTTAAAATGCCCAACTTTACAGCAGAAATAAACATTTGGTTCAAGGTTCAAGGATTTCATTGTCAATTCACCATATGTGTAGGACATACAGAAAATCGAAATACCGTTTCTCCCTCACCCTGGGCCAAAAATGTGTTTTGGTCTCTATGGCTAATTTCCCGTTCTATAACAACTGTAGGGGGATGACATTTTTTTTAAAATCACTATTTAAATTATATTGAAATTAAAAGTTATGCATTAAGGGCGTGGCTGCTTTGAGTGACATGGTCCCGCCATAGGTGGCCGCTAGCTGTCTAATGAGGTCCACTCAGGCTCCGCCTCTTTGCCCATTTTTAGATTAGACATAGCAGGCAGAATGAACTACCAATATGACGACGGCCAGTGTTGAGCCTCAAAACTGTTCTACAGAAAACCAACTGGTGACATCACGGTGGATTTGTCCAACCTTTATATAGTCAGTGGGTGCAAAATGAGAAAACGCCAAACTAGGACAAGCCACCTAAAGGTGAGATTGTACTTACTGGAGGTGTTTTTCAAAATAGAAGACTACGTCCGCTTCAAATTCTGCGACCTGAACACAGTTATACTAGCGAAATAACCTTATGTAATATCCCAGTAAATACCGTTGCAGTCCCAACATTAGACTTCTTTTAATTGCAATATTACAAATACTACATCGCTATCAGCTGATTTTCTTTATTTACTCGGAAAATTTAATAGTTATTCCAAAATTTTGCCATTTTCTGTCTTAGATCTGTTGATTAATCAAGAAAATAATTAATCTGCACATTTACTAATAATTACTCAAAGTGATAGTGTGACGATTCGACCACTAAACAGGAAAAGCCGAAAGTGACTATGAACCCAAAGTGATAGTGATCAGATCAATCCCTAAAGTGTCGATACAGCCAATATCTTGTTTTAAGTACTGATAGTCGCAACAATACAAAAAAAAAAAAAAATCTCGGTCTCTGCGCTGTGGGACATATTTGGCAAAGACAAAAAAAAAACAAAAACTAATATTTGACCAATATTTTAATTAATAAAACTGCATGTGATTCATTAACAGAAAATAATTATAAATGACTATTTGGAGGAAACAAAAAGCGAGTGATTATTTACAAATAAATCTAAGTATCATGTGTGTGATAAAGTCGTGTGGAGTGACTCACCAACACTTAATTCTGCCAATTAATCAATAGGAATAATCATTAATTGTAGATCAGGTCAAAGGTCATAAAAATACAGGACACGGAAATAACCAAATATTTTGTAAATAAGTGAACAGTGATCATTAACAGCTGCTTCATAAAGACATGGCAAACTCATCATGGTTCTTAGCTGCCTGAAGCCCCGACCCCCACATAAACAAACAACAGTAAACAACAACAATGATAAATAGTCATCATAATTATCTGACCTCCTCGATGACTCCCATCTCTGTATGATAAGGTTATAATTATCTGACCTCCTCAATGACTCCCATCTCTGTATGATGAGGTCATAATTATCTGACCTCATCACTGACTCCTGTCTCTGTATGATGACATCAGTAACACCTCTCTCTCTCTCTCCCTCTCTCTTTCTGCAGTACCACTCTAAAGAGCTGCTGACACAGAATTCTGCACGGTGATTGGTTGATGGGATGTGGGCGGAGTCTGAGCGCCTTGAAGATCAATCACATGGACAAATAATATTTAAGTGAAGAGTTTATATTTATAAGGAGAAGGAAACTTATTGATCTTATCAAACATTTCCATGGATACCAGGATCAAATCAGTGCGTTCCCCAATCAGCAGTTATACCATTAATAAGCAATCACTAATCAAATAGCTCAAAGATGAACCTTTTAGTTTATTTAGTTCACCTGCAGGTGAGCTCTGGTCTCCATGGAAACAGAGGCGTCCCTGAACACACTGTTCCTCCTGAGAAAACCACAGGCCTTGATCCCCTGGACACACCTATCAGGTACAGTCTGAAAGTTTTAATTCAGAGTGAGACATCAGTGCAGAGATAGGTCAGTATGTTAGCCTAGCCCGGCACAAAGACTGGAACAGGTGGTTTACTGATTACTGATCAGGTGTAGAAACAGAAATGTCCTCCAGCTTATGGGAGGAGACACCTGGACAGGTGAGTTCTGGCCCCACCTCTCAGTGGGCATGGTTAACAGCACTTTTAGGATGTAAACTTAGCATTACATGCTTTGACTGACCCCAGGTCTGTTTGTGAAACTAAATCTGATCCCAGATCAGCTGATACACAAGGTCAGGTACCACGGATCCTGATTGGTCAAGAGTTTCCCTTCCTCTTCCCTCCTGTTTTTAAGACAGTAACTTTATATAAACATCTGTTCTCAGATGACAGAATACGTAAAGTGTTTAGTTTCACAACTTACATTATATTTACTGTCTGTGCAGATTCTCAGTCATCCAGGTCATAGTAAGCTGAAAAAAATGGATGAGAGGTGAAACGTCTTCGACCTAGAAATCTAGTCTAGTTGATTTTTTGTAAGTTTTTTTTTCAGATTATATTTAGCGAGAAAGCCGACACGTTGGGTACTTTATGTGGAGAATACAAATGTCAGAGCAGCCCTAACCCTTTGCTCAAGTCTGAAACCTGTTTTTATCAGCATCAAATCTCAATTTCAAGTTCACTGTGTTCGATTCAAATCATTCATCTTCCCCAGACTTCATTTTTAAAAAGCTTAAAAGACTTTGACTCCTCATGGTTTCCAAAGTCCTGATTCAGGATCCACCAAACTGAGACCTGGACTCAAATTAAACATGGTAGACAATCAATAAATCAATTATAATCTGCTTCCTTACTTTTACTAACAGACATGACGATATCATCCTGCTGTTTCTGGGTCCCCTAGAGTGGATGGACGAGTTTTTAACCTTTCTCTTTCTACACCTGAGAACCAAGAAACAGATGCCGAGTCTGTACTGGTCCAAACTGGTCTGGACTGGTTTCTGAAGGTTTTATTGCCTCTGGTGATACAATGATGCAAATATGTGATAAACAGAAAGTTGTTGTTGTTGAAATATTATGTAAAACTTGCAGATGATAAATGCAATAAAATGCTGCATGTGTGACAGTTTGTGATGGTCTATAAAAAAAAAATCATACTTCTACACACACAAAAAAAAGATGGATTCAAATTTATGAGTTAAGCCTCATCAGCAGGTCTAGTTTTACACTGAGAGCAAATCTTTCTTTTTACAGTAAAATTAGGAAACAGATCAATGATCAACTAGCCAGCACTCAGAGAGTGCAGACCTCCGCCAAAGGCCACCCAATGTCCTCATGGTGTAAAAGCAATGTTTTCATGATAGTGTGACCCTCATAATATGACTGTTTGCCCATGAAAACCTACTGCTGGCATTTGGAAGGATGGCGATATCGCTAGTTGTATGAAAGTTATTCAAGAAAAGCAATAGACCTGACAAACATCCACTAGTTGGCTTAGCGTGAGTGGACCTCAGGCAAAGCAGTGAAGACTTCACCTTTCTGCAAATTTGTGTTGTGCCTGTTCAACAGCTGTTTGATGAGTTACACATGTGGTCTCCGTTAGGCCATGTTCAGACTGAGTTTCAAAGGTGTGAAAACACACAGCCAGCAAAATAATGCAACCAGATGCAGCAAAAAATTAGGATCTGGTTCAACTTTCACTGCACCGGACAGGCGACATCATTCAGCAAAGACACTGCATTTACCAATCACATGCAGGGGGATGATCAAGACGTGGATGCACACCAGAGGGAGACTTTTACCTTGGTAGCATGAGCATTCACTGCTATTCACTGTCGAATCTGGGTCATAGTTAACACACCATAATGACACGCTTTGTATTTTGTTAGTACTGGATGTTTTGAATCTCAGTCTACCACACTGGTGGTAGCACTTGGTGCTAAGGTAAAGCAGGCGACGTTAGTAGCACAGCTAACCTAAACACAACGGAAACGTGAATGAAACCACCCATGTAGACCCATCACAACGTGGTTGTATTGTATGCCCACTATGGTTGACAGGCCTCCCTGGTAGGTTAGTGGTTAAGGCGCAGCGATCTGGCCGCAGCGCCCCGGGTTCGATTCCAGGTTGCGTCAGGAAGGGCATCCGGCGTAAAACACGTGCCAAATGTCAACATGCGAGTCGTCAGTGTGACGATTCGCTGTGGCGACCCCTAAAAAAACGGGGAAAGCCGAAAATGACTTTCTTTCTTAGTTGCGTGACTGGTCGTCCCATGATGGAGTGACCCTTCCCGTCCTCTGCTCAGCTGTGAGCTTGTGTGTTAAAGAAGCGCAGCCCTCTAAAATCGAGACCACAAGCGGCACAGACATGAGTGTGTGATGCCAACATTCACCTGACTTTTCAGGGGGCTTTAATTTTAAAATCTATGTCAGAAATCCATTATATTTTCTTGGTCACATTCTGAGGTGGGGTACTGACATGTGAAATGGTCCTGTCAAAACACAAAACTTAATCTTAATACCAATTTGAATTTAACATTAAGATAGCCTTATTATTAAAATTGATTTAATATATGTTATGCATTTATGTTTTATTTACTACTGACAGACACACTAAGACCGAATGAAAGTGAACTCGCGTTCTTTTATTATGAAATCATTTCCACTTTACCTAATGTGTAGTAAGTATATAGACACGCAAACCATTAAAGCGGATGGCTTGGCTTGGTTTTTCGAAGTGGACGTTGGCCCCACATTTTAACCCCTGCACAAGCAGTGAAACTTTCCGAGCTGCTTTGTTATCGGTGTAGGACGTAGTGATGGGCAGATGAAGCTTCATGAAGCAATGAAGCCTTTCATCCAATTGGTTCACTCCAGCGCAAAGCTTCTTGAAGCTTCATTTGCTCTAGTAGAACATCAACTGGACGCAACAATATCAGTTGGCATGAATTGGAAGTGTGTGGCATTTTGCAGAAAGCCTGTGAATAAAACTGTCAGCAAAATAAAGAAGTAT